AAGCACACGCGGGTGCGATCAACGCTGAAATCTCGGGAGCTCTTCTCCATGAAGACCTGGCACTGGGCGATGAACGGAGTCAGTGCGTCAGGGTTGCCGTCAAACTTCTCAGGAAGGTACTCCAGGCAGTCTTCATCCAGGAAAAATGAGGGGTCAGCAGTGGCTCCCTGGAGCTCGGGGTCAGAGTCGCTGTTGCGTGACTGGCGGCGGTTCCTGCGGCGCCTGCCTCCGTTCCTGGGGCTCTTGGACTTGTTGTTGTTGTTGTTGTTGTTGGGGGGAGGAGGGGGCGGGCAGCCGGCGCCACCCGCCGCGGTAGCCATGTTGGAAGGGTGCCCAGATTTCTGGACCCTTCGTGGGCGGCGCTTTTTCTTGGTCCGCAGAACCCGTCTGTTCCTGTAAATGACAATAAACGCATACATTCAACATAGACATTCGAAGCAGGCTCTGTAAACGAGGACTTGGACTCTCCAACTATCCCTTGATAATTATCAGGGATAATTCTCGACAGCACGACGCATCCCCCAAAAGAGGATGAAGTAATCATTCACAAAACAGTAAAAAGCATGCTGCTTCTTGATGGCCAGACATCCAAATGACTCTTGTAGAAAGTCACCTGCACCTCCTAACTAATGCATGACCTTCAGCAGTAGCACACTCAGCCTAGCAAACTACAGAGGTGACAAGAGTAAACAAGTCATCTCTATGGAGGCTACACCGCAGGAAACTTCCAAGGCAAAGATAAATACGAAATGAATTATGCAAAATAATCCCAACGCCATACCTTTTACTAATAAGGATGCTAGGGAAATATAACCAAACTCCAATCAGAAACCCCACTCACAAAAGAGGTGGGGTATTAGAACCACAATGCCAGTACTTGTCAGCTCTGAAAACAAATAAAGTACACTTGGCCAAACGTCACAACAGAGGTGCACCCTTAACAATAAAGGTCTAATTATTAAGTCAAACAACCAAGCACTATCACAAGAACAAGAGTGTCTAATTGCTTCTGTGACCACAAGTTAACCTCCTCAGAATTCTCTATGGGAGAAAAATGGCACTGAACAGCACAAGGGGATGTCAGTTTACCTTATTAGGCAACCATTAAACAAACATTAATTGATGCCTCCTAGGAAGAAAGGAGCTATACAATAGGACATCTTTTTTTAATGATGTCTGATAATAGTATAACTCAAATTTATTGTGCTTAATTAAATGACATAGGTATAAATCACTGAAGTATTACTGTTAACTGACTCTTAAAAAGATTATTGATTAAAAAACAAAAAGGTAACTTTCTGTATAAATGGGAAGGAAGCAGCTTAGGCATCCTGAATCTAAAGATACTTAAAAATATATATATATATTATTAGTCAAAGAAATACAAAAGTTTTTCATTTTAAATAGTTTATTTATACTACAGGTCAAGTTTTTAATTGGGATTTTTCAGTAGGGTCGCACCCAAAGGCTTGTAAAATTAAGGTGGGATAGGCCTGGACGCAAGGCAAGTGGACCTGTCCATATCTCAAGGAGTAGTCTAAATGCAATTAGAATGATTAATTATTTATGTATTTGTAATCTCAAAATCTCAAATTGGGAAAATTAAAATAATTGTAATAAAGAGTAAGATATTAAAGTTTTACAAACTTTGTAACTGGACAGTCTAGTAAACTTTTTAAAAAGTTTACTAAGTTTATTAAACTTATAAAACTTATAAACTTATAAAACTTATAAACTTATTAAACTTATTAAACTTATAAAACTTATAAAACTTATTAAACTTATAAAACTTATAAACTTATTAAACTTATTAAACTTATAAAACTTATAAACTTATTAAACTTATAAAAGTTTGAACTTACAACTTTTAAGTATAAAGCCTAAAACTTTGGAAAGTTTTTTAAACTTTATAATTAGACAGTCTAGCAAAGTTTTTAAAAAAGTTGAACTAAGTTTATTGAAGTTTTAGAAAACTTTTTAAAAGTCTGAAGTTAAAGTAATCTTTAAGTTTAAAGTTAAGTCTTTAGAAAGTTTTTTAAAAACTTTTTAAAAAACTCTGAAATTGGACAGTAGCAAACTTTTTAGAAAGTTTAAGTTTCCTGAAGTTTTAAAAAGTTTTAAAAGTTTGAACTTACAAACAACTTTTAAGTTTAAAGCTTAAAACTTTAGAAAGTTTTAAAGTTCTGCTTTTGAAAGTTTATACTTTTTAATAGTTAGAAACTTTTAATTAAAAAAGTTCAATAAAAGTTTAAGGATATAAAGTTTATAAAACTTTTGAACAAATAAAAATTTAAAAATAAGTTGTTTTTCTCTGACCAATCAAGGTCAAAATGGGCACTAAGTATATTCCAAAAAAAAGATTAAAATGTTAATTAGAAAAGTTAATGGAATAGCCCCCACCCTCCCCCACCCCATCTCTCAGGCCCCTCCCCTGCCTGCCATAGCCACCTGCAGCCACTTTCCCTTTGTCCCAGGCTGTTCTTGTGGCCTCTTCAATATGTGCCATTTTATCACTTGTACTTAATCACTTTAATAACAGACTACCATAACTAACAGATATCTGATAACCATGTTTTAAAAAGTTAGAAGACGCCTTGACCTGTGACATTCATTCTCCTTCATTAAAAACAAGTGTATTGGTAACAAAACCATAGTCAAAACATTGCAATATTCATAAAATTAAATTGTTTTAATCTAGTGGGGTGGGCTTTATTAAAGACAGGTCTGGTGGACATTGACACCTATAAAAGATAATTAGAGGACAGAAATTGTATTAGGAAATCATCAATTAATACATTGTTTGTATTGATATTGTAAAATATTGATTGTATTATTTGTAAAATGTCATTAAGATAATTTAAAGAGAGACTAGAGGTAAGAAAATGGGGGAGGGGCTGTAACCTGAAGAGGTGTGCCCCTCCCACCAGGATATTCAGGGGGCTGCTTTTGTTTTTTTAATATTACAGTACTGGCTAAACAAATTAAAGGCTTTATTTGGCCTGTGAGGTCACCACCACTTTAAGATTTGTGACCCTCACCACTCCTAGCCCTCAGGATCACCCTTGGGGGCTTTGCAATTTGGGGAGTGGGACTCTACTGCAAGGCAGAGTAGTTTAACCACTAAAAAGTAATAGGGCCCTGGGCAAACAGGTTACCAGTAATTATAAACAAATAATAAAAATGTTTGAAGAGCAACTGGGGTAGCACTAATTGATGGGATATAAGGAGCATGTTGACTTAATTTTAATTTGACTTAAAAACTGTTGCTCCTCAATTTCCCTCTTAAAGAGGGAAACACTGATTGGGGGTTGCTGAAAGCTCCCATTCCTAAAAACTGAAAGGTCACACTGCATAAGCAAGCCAAGCTACCTGAGACAGGTGCCATCTTCATATATAATAATTTAGTTTTTAGGGATTAATAAGTACATCTGATTAATTATTAACTCTTTACAATGACTTCTTCAAACTTTCTTTAAATTCCCCAAACACATTAAAGGACAATAATAAAGTAAATAAAATCATATATAAATGTCTCATTAGGAAATGAAACATTAAGCAACTCTTAGTTGCTTGAAATTTTTAAATGTCCTTTTCTTAGTATTATGTGGCTTATTTGTGAAATGCAATTGGAATTTGCATATATTGATTTGCAATGTTTTGAACCTCTTTAGTATGCAGATAAAATTCCCAAAGCAAATGTCAAGCTGTAATTATAAGCATGTATTTCCCATAGTTATACTTCAGGGGAGGGGCAGTAGAAAGGTGAGAGCTTGGGGGGAGCAAAAGCCCCCATTTCTCCCCTTAATAAAATCCTGGCTCATGGTCTGTAATATATAGAGCCAGTTTTCTTTTAATTTCTTCATTAATTAAGAGAAATTTATTTGGCTTCTCTGTAAATTACAGATGTTTAATTAAGCCAGTTGAAACAATCTATGTCTTGCAATGTAACCACTCTGTTACATCACACAAATTTTAAATGTCAATATGTAACATTAATAACCCACTTGCCCCAAATTCAAATTAGCTTTTTATGAAAAAAGCTAATTACTTGGGACAGCAAATAATTAGCTTTTTATGAAAAAAGCTAATTACTTGGAATAACAAATAATTAGCTTTTTATGAAAAAAGCTAATTACTTGGAATAACAAATAATTAGCTTTTTATGAAAAAAGCTAATTACTTGGAATATAATTCTGTCTCACATTATAATTACAGCTTACTTTACTGGAACTCAAAAACACACTTTTTAAAAGGAAACTTTTAAAAGTGAGAGAGGGGTAGCAACTCAACTCAGGACAACCAAGCACTATAGGAAAAAGTACGAAAATCTCAAAAAAGTCTGAAGGCCAGGAGCAAGACAATGATTAATTTACTCTGGCCAATTAACAAATATTTAATGAATGCCTACTATGTGCCAAGCACAATTTATTATACATAGGCAGGTCAGCCAGAGCTAATCACCTGGAATTTTTAAGAAAAAAAAAAGAAAACCACCAAAAAAAAGTTTTTATGCTCACAAACGTCTCCTTCCTCAGAGGCCAAGCCACAATACCAATGCCACTTCAAACTCTTAAGAAACAACAGTCCAAGCTGCTTCTGTTTTTATATTCTCCAAAGCATCCAACTCCAGTAAGTCCAATGGTGTCTTAGGCAAATAATTAAATATGAAAATATTTTAAATTTAATTTTTAATTTAAAATAAATAATTGGCTTGATTGCTGCAAGGCATCAGCCAGGTTTTCTTAGAAGTTCCCATATCCCACTATCAGTTTTAATTGTGGGATCATTTTATTTAATAATGCAAGGCACTTATTAAAAGTGCTTATGCATGCCAGGGATACTTCTTCTTCTTCTTCTTCTTCTTCTTGTTAATTATTCTTATTATACTTATATATTTCCTAGACACCTGTGGACAA